CTCTATCGACTTTATCCTTCTATTTCTCTATTACTATTCTATTTTATATTATTACCTAACCTCTTCGATCGTTACCTAGTTATACCTTAGCATACTTAATACTATTTACTTAATTAAATTAACGTAATTAATATTATTTATAGGAATAATAGGAATAGCTACCTATATAGCTATTACGAAGGCCTCTAACTATAGTACTACCCTCTAAGTAGCTATTCTACTTCTTTTTTATATAAAGGAGAACGTTCTTATTTATATACTATATATAAATTTACTATAAAAGACGAGGGAATACGTTTTCGAGAGTATTCTTAAGCTTCTAATCGAAATCCGTAATAATAATACTAAAGGCCTTAATATTCTCCTTCTCTATTACCTCCTTTATATAAGTAATTACTTACGTATACGTATTAGTATTCTTATCGGAGAGGAGCGTAAAATAGTAGCTAAATAATATATAAATTATAGTTACTTTATTTACTTAGAGGAGAGGTATATCGTAGTAATTAATTTATAGTTTTTAGTTAGAAAGAGGCTACTTAATAGCTTATAAACGAGGCTATTAAGTATAGATAACTTACTTTATATATAATATCTATAAATAAGAGCTTAATATTCTACCTCTAGATTTAACTAGATTAAGAGTAAGTCTAGAAGACGTATTCGATCTTCTATATAATAGGGCTATAATATATAATATAATAGTATACGTCTTCGTTCTACTCGAGAGTATTAAGGAATAATTAAGTAAGAGAGTAATAGCTTTATTAAGCCCTCTATAGCTAATTATACTAGTTCTTTATATTAATATTAGATAAGAGGATATTTTAGCCTTTATTAATATATTCCTTCGTAATCTACTAAGTAATTTACTTATTAATTAATTAACTAATCGCTATAAAAGCGTTAATATAACTTATAATATTAAGATCGTAAGAAGCCCTCCGAATTATAGGCGATACTTTAAGTCCTACCTCTATAATAATAGAGTAATTATAAGAGTTATCCGATAAGATAGGTACGTATCTCTATTAGCTACCTACTTCCTTAAGAGCTCCTCGCTATAAGTAATTAATTTTAGAGGAAGGCTTCTATTAGAGACTATTAAGTATACTAAGGTATAACTAGGTAACGATCGAAGAGGTTAGGTTATAATATAGAATAGAATAGTAATAGAGAAATAGAAGGATAAAGTCGATAGAGGAAGGATAGGATAAGATAATAATATCTCCGGAAGGAAGTATCGGATAGAGAAACCGATCGAAGATTCTAATAGCCCTTAATTTCTACTATAGAATAGTATAGGTTTCGTATAAATCGAAGGTAGGTAAGGGGTTATTTAATTAAAGAATAGCTTTAAGGATTACTTATTAAGAACCTAATAGAAGTAAGGGCGGTCCTGAAAAGTATCTATTACTAATACTTAAAAACGTATAAATTAGATAGGAATTACTATATAAGGGGAAGTAACGAGCTTAGCTAAAATTATATATATATTAAGTTATCTAAAAACTAGAAAATAGGTCTAGGGGATTAGATCTATATATAATAGACTAACCCTCTGAATCACCGCCTGGACGGGGCGCTTAGACTACCTTAGGACCTACGGGGAAGTAGAGTCGGTTTTTATCTAGCTTAAAAGCTAAGCTAGTAATAGATAAGAGAAGTTAACGGCTTATTACTATAGGATAGCTCTATAGAATGTTATAAAAAGTATACTATTCTATAGCCCCGCTTTTTCTCTTTCTAATGATATATATATCGATATAGTTTAGCTTTTACTTTAGCTACTAGAAGGGTTATAAAGCCCTTACTCCCTATAGAGACCCTTTAATAGAGAGGGTTTACTTTTCCCTTAATCGTAGAGGAGCTTTATCTACGTTATCGGGCCGTTCCTAGCGCTATTAACCCTCTTCCGGATCCGTTTTATAGTTAATCCGTATCCTTAGGAGGTATAGTAGTCGTAAACGATTTTAAGTAGCTCTTTATATATATTTATAGTAAAGGAGATAATAGGGGAGTCGGTAATAGCCTTAGTAACGGTTAGTAAGTCTATTAGTAAAAGAGGTATCGTAGAGGCTTTATTTAACGATAAAATAAAGCGTTAGCGATATCTAAGGGGCTTAGAATAAGCGTATTAAGTAGTATTATTATATTTAAAGCTATTAATAATCTAAGGGATAGATAGGGTAATTATAGAACCTTAGGGGGTTACCTTACGTTACTTTATTAGCTAGTTATAGCTAGCCTTTAGCTCGGAATTCATTAAGAGATTCCCTCGAGACTCGAAGGTATAAGAGACGAGGATAGGTATATAGTTACTATAGCTAATTTTAGTAGTAGAGCTATATCTATAGCTTACCCCCTATCTAGTATAGTTTTACCCTTATCTAATAGAGTGAATAGCCTATAAGGGCCGAGTAAATAGCCTTCCTCGCCTAGAAGTCACTGCCTGAGGGGAAGTTCCTAGTGTGGTGGCCGAAATGAAACCCCCATAAGAGCAGCGACGTAAAGTGTCCAAGCTCCCACCATCAACCGTGAACAAGAAAAAAGTTGATGAGAAGAAGCAAACATATATGGGACTTGCCACAGGCTTCGGAACCCCCAGGATACCAGCGTGAATACATTGTTCACTGTGAATGAGTCAATTGGACCTTCCCGAGCTTCGATTGACCAGGTGAGCGTGCGACAAGTCTCGGCAGTTCATGTTGTACGGTGCCATGCACTTCGATTGTGAACGCTTCCCCGGCGATGGAGAAAGCACTCTAACGACCCACCTTGGAAACCTAGGGGGGTCAACAGGAGTCCGCCACTCAGGGGTGGGGCGTCAAGAACTAATGCAAATGCATTGCCTGTTCGTGATGCTGGGTCGCCCTGGGCCAGTACAGCAACATGACTGGTCAATGGCTGATGATGCCCGATCCTGCAGTACACAGCGGGACAATGTGACGTTCTTCACAAGCCCATTTGTGATACCTCGATTTCCATGATCCTCCTGTGTGTGGCAAGTGACTGTGCATTCAGGCCTCGTCTCGCACTTGCGCTCGAGCCACAACCGCTCTCTCAATGGCCTCTGCCACGGCCTTCCGGCCCTCGGCACGGAACATGACATCGTTGTGAAAGGCGCCTTGTACCGTCTTCTTCTCTACCAGCAATCCGAGTTCGATACACCGTTGTTGCAACTGAGCTCCATGCTCCGCTGGGACCAGCTCGTCCCTACCCCCCTCTACCAGTGTTATGTATGGTTCACCTGTCGTATCGCCCCGACGCGCAGCTATCATCTCAAAGTTCTTCAAGGAATCCAGATGGTTGCGAAGGAAAGGCCAAAGATAGCGATAAGGGACCCATTTAGGAGGATATAGCGCCAACAGCATTGCCCTTATGGATGTGAAAGGCGTCTCGAGGACAAGGGCGCCGGGTTTTAGAGACTGTGAACACTCCTCCCAAGCAGCAAGGTTCGTCGCGACTCCAGACCCGATGCTCTGACCCCAGAAGACGATGAGTGGCTTTGGACCATCCTCTCCATAAGCCTCTGCATGGATCTGGCCGACAAATCGAAGCGCGGCTTGTGCGTCAAGGTTGATGCCTTTCTCGGACGGGCGCCCACGCGATGTCCAGTATCCTCTGTAACTCAAACACACCATTGTATAGTGTGCCGGCTGGCTCGAGCCTTGCAGTGCCCTCAAGACCCAGGACAGATCCTGCAGCCTAGGTGGTAGAGATGACGCATTCCCTGCGGTAGGTCAGCACTTGCTAGCCGTTACGGATGGAATGGGACAAACCCTGAAAGTAGAGAATGTAAACCGGAGTTGCAAGGCCGCGCCCAGCAGCAAGTGACGATGCGCCAGCTTTTGAGCCATCGCACTCTACACTCGTCATGCAAACGGCCAGATCCGTGCCATCGGCAGCTCGTATCCTACGCGCCTGCCATGATATGCCTCCACATTGTCGGGCGTAGTCCTCAATGCGCTCGCGACGTGCGTTCGGCGGCAGACCCGGCATGTATATGATCTTGTTCTGGAACACCACCATCATCATGCATTTCCATATCCAGAGCGAGCCCAAAAGCCCGACGAACATGAGTGGCGGGAGCCAGAAGACTTGTGATTGCAGGTGTCGTTTGGCAGTCTGGGGCAAGATGGTGAAGCGCGCTGGTGATAGAACAACGCGAGGCGTGGTGCATCGCAGCGAGGAGAAGCCTGCGCAGCTTGAGACTCTAGAAGTATTCGAATGGCAAACAGAGGCGCGCACCGCCTTCAGTGCCATCCTTGCCATTGTTTCCCCTCGATGCTGTTTGCGCTGTTGTCCGACATTGGTCCGGGTCGTTCGACGGAGGTCCGTGGTGTGAAGGATTCGCTCGGAAGGGCAGTCATTCAGAAGAACGACATCGTAGATAGAAGGTCTCGGTATTCAACGTTTCGAGTGAGCGGTGCGAGCAACATTGTTGTGAGCTTACGATGGTTTCATTCAATAGAACACGCTGGGAGTCGAGCTCCAATCCTAACCTGGGTGCCCCACTAAAGTGCATGTGTCGCTGCTGTCGACTTCCACCATTTGAGTATAGACTAACCACCACCATTGCTGGAAGGACTTGAGCCGAACACAATGCTCGTACGTGTCTTCATCTTCTGTCAAGAGACCTGATGCGGAAAACTCTCTCAAACAAACCCCACTCATCAAACAATCAGGTTCTCAATAACATCTCTCACCTTACCCCGCAAAATGGGCTCCGCACAGCAAAATGACCCGGTCATTATCGGCTTCCCTCCAGCGTCGGATGCTGAACGACTCGACTTCGTCAACGGCCTTGTTGACGTTGTCAACAAGGCATATGCCGAGACCGAAAGCGAAATGTTCGTCACGGGCTACCAACGAACAACCCCAACTGAGGTTGCAGGTCTCATCCGCACCGGCCAACTCGTGACTGCCACTCGGGATCCAACAGGTGAACCTGTAGGTTGTGTGTCGTTGAAGGCCATGTCACCAACACGGAGTGCATTCGGCATGTTGGCGTTAGGGGCGGCCTACCAAGGTTCAGGCTTAGGGAGAAAGCTCATCCAGTTCGTCGAAGAACACAGCCGAGCCCAAGGATGCGAAGTTATGCAGCTTGAGCTTCTCGTGCCGACGACTTGGGAGCACCCTTTCAAAACAAGAATGAACGCTTGGTACTCTAAATTGGGCTATCAACTGGTAAAGGTGGGACAGTTCGACAAGGATTACCCAGCTCTGGCCCCGTTGCTCTCAGGCCCTGCCGACTACAGGATATCTGAGAAGTCGTTGGTATGAAGGTCCTCCAATTTTGCAATGGTTCAGAAGCGCAACCCAGGCCTCAAATCATAATCAAGCATCTGTCGTCCTAAAAGCAATTGACTCCCCATCCGGAGCTCTCCGTCTCGCTGGGTTGATGTTGACATCCTTTTCTGTGCTATCGTGACTGTTGTACCTGATAAAACCGCGCCCACTCATTGCTGTACCTTTATACAGGGCATGTTGAGCTCACACTGAGACCGAGGAGAGCTTGAAGCAACGGACCCAGACTGGCTTTCGAATCTCGCGCCTATCGGTTTCTCTTTTCAGTCGGGATGCCGGGTTCTGCGTTAGCCCGTGCATCTTCATATGTAGAGACCTGGGGCTTGAGCATGGTCTAAGGAAGCCTTCATCTAACTTTGCTTCGTAAGAGACAGTACCGGCTCGGTGCTCCCGTTATGGTATTTATTGAGCACTACATCAGATGGTATAGAGAATTGACCTTATCAGAGTGAGCGGCAGCATATCTTGAACCACATTGTGCCAGTTTCCCACGAGCTGGGCATCAGGCTTGACAGCGGCTGTGGTCGTACATTGGCCTTAGGTTTTTCTCTGTTTGTTCCGCGGCGGCCAAAAACTCATCAAACCTGTCTCAATGGTAGAATTCGGCCTCGTATTTAGTGTGGACTATGCCATCACGATGAACAGAGAGAGCGGTCGTGACGAAGGAATAGGCTGGAGTTGATGTGCTGGGGGCACGCTAAGCAAGGCCTGGAATGCGCTGGATAGAAAAGCCGTCATCACAGAGGGCCCAGCCATTGGGCCTACCACGTAGAGCGTGCCCCGCCAGACACACATGCCACTTCTGGTACCGGATTACCTGATCAATCCATCGACCGTCGCCTTTCTCCTCTACCTTACTCAAAACAAATAACATCACCCGTCCGTCCACCCCGTTACCCGTTTTCACTTGCCCGTGGTTGCAAATTGCCAGGTCTACGCTTTCAACATACTTCATTTGCATCCCGTACCAACGCGAGCGAAAACATCGACTCCTTACCGTTCAAACCCTCAGCAACCCCTCGCCGCCGTCAACCCCGCCTTTCAGTGCCATGGCAGGCTCCGAGGAAACCGAGAGGCCAGCCTCACCACACATTGCGCTCCCTGACGAAGGCACCACATCACCCAAGGCCGAAGATCAGCCAAGTCCCGGCATCAGGAACAGCAAGGGCTGGGACGGCAAGCTGCGTGTCGAGCGCACCGCCACGCTCGCGAACCCGGAGATTCTCGAATCAGAGCCCGAGTCTGACGATGAGAATGTTTTGCCTGGCGAGGAGCTACCCGCAGACGAAGGTACATAACGAACCCCCCTCCTCCCGTGTGCCCGGGGACCGTGACAAACTGAGAATGGCGGCACATTGCTGACACGGGCTTTCCCGCCTCTCCAGATCTCCTAGACGGAGAGGACCCGGATATTGACGAAATCATCGTGTCTCACTCGCGCGTGGGCTCCATCCCCGCTCTCCGCCTCGAGCGCTTTCAAAAGGTGATACGCCTCTGCCTGCGCCAGAACAGCATCCAGAGCATCGACGGCCTCGCGGCGCTCGCCCCGACGCTGCAGGACCTCGACCTCTACGACAACCTCATCAGCCACATCCGCGGCCTCGACGAGCTCACGCACCTGACGAGCCTCGACCTCAGTTTCAACAAGATCAAGCACATCAAGAACATCAGCCACCTGACCAAGCTCAAGGAGGTCTTCTTCGTCGCCAACAAGATCAGCAAGATCGAGGGGCTCGACACCCTGACGGGCCTGACGAGCCTCGAGCTCGGCTCCAACCGCATCCGCACCCTCGAGAACCTCGACGCGCTGCAGAACCTGGAGGAGCTCTGGGTCGCCAAGAACAAGATCACCGCCCTCGACGGCCTCGCCGCCCTGACCAAGCTCCGCCTCCTGAGCATTCAGTCGAACCGCATCCGCGACCTGAGCCCTCTCGCGGACGTCCCGGGCCTCGAGGAGCTCTACATCTCCCACAACGCCCTGACCTCCCTCGACGGCCTCGCCGCCAACAAGGCCCTCCGCGTGCTCGACATCTCCAACAACGCCGTCGCCTCGGTCCAGGGCCTCGCGCCACTGGCCGCCCTCGAGGAGTTCTGGGCCAGCTACAACCAGATTGCCGACTTTAACGAGGTAGAGCGCGAACTGCGCGACAAGGCGGCGCTGACGACCGTCTACTTTGAGGGCAACCCGCTCCAGCTAAGAGGCCCCGCCGTGTACAGGAACAAGGTCCGCCTGGCGCTGCCGCAATTATCGCAGATAGATGCCAGTGAGTTCAGCCCTGCCCGAGACACCCATCCCCGCCGTGCAAGATGGTGTAACTGACCTACCTGCCTTTGCAGCTTTTGTCAAGACGTGATGCATTAAAAAAAGAAAAATATGAGTTGACGTACAAGAAAGTAATGGAAACGATACCACGAGCATTGGGCAAGGCGTTCAGGAAGGTGGAATAAATGGGCATAGTTCGTAGAGAGCCGGCTTCCCGACCGGGGTTACTGCAAGTGTGTCCCGTTGCAACGTTGGCGAATACCACGTCATGATCACATGCATGGGAATGTAGGAAGGGATATGCAGGACGGAGGAGCTAGCTCCGATGAACCATGTTTAAAGTTTCAAAAGACCTTGTATTCGATGTCGGCAGATCACAGTCATGCCTCTCTAGATACAACCAGCAACAGCGCAGCGGAATTTCTATGCCCCTCCGTTTCTGCGTTCTTTTTGCAAGAGATGACCGCCTCCGGCAGTCCCGTGAGCAACAGAACCGGAGGCCCGGCTCAGCCGGCAGGGCCTCATTGGACCGGTTCCCATAGGCGGGTAAAAGGATGTAAGTCGTTAAGTGGGTAGGAGTGAGTATAATCGGAGAGGAGTGGGTTGGTGTGGATACGTGACTGGACATGGCATTTAGGCGAAGATCCAGAGCTTCTCGGTGGGGAAGTAGTTGGCGGGCTGGTTGAAGCGGGTGTTGATATCGAGGGCGGAGATCTTTTCAATGTCCTCCTCAGAGATGTCGAAGCCGGTGACGTCGAGGTTCTGGGCGAGGATCTCGGCGCGGTTCGTCTTGGGGATGACGGACAGGCCACGCTGGGTAGACCAGCGCAGGAGGATCTGAGAGGGAGCCTTGCCGTACTTGTCGGCAAGGGAAGTGATGAGCTGGTGCTTGAGGAGGGGCTCGAGCTTCTTGGCATGAGGGAAGTCGAACTCGGCGAAGGAGGCGGGGCCGAAAGAGGAGTAGGCGGTCACGGCGATGCCCTCGTTCTGCGCAAGACGGATGAGGTCACGCTGGACGAGGTAGGGGTGGTGCTCGATCTGGAGGGTGGCGGGCCTGATCTTGGCAGTGCGCAGGAGGTCGTAGACGAGCTGGCCCTGGAAGTTGGAGATGCCGATGGAACGAGCAATGCCCTTTTCGACCAGAGACTCCATGGCGGTCCAAGTCTCGGCGATGGAGGCGTTGGAGGTGCGGATCTCCGACTTGCCATCGAAGTGCCAGCCGGGAGGGTAGCGGACCTCGGGGTCAACCCAGGCGAGGGCAACGGGGAAGTGAATGACATAGAGGTCGAAGTAGTCGATGCCAAGGTCGGCAAGCTGCTTGCGGGCGATAGGCTCGACCTTGTCGCCGTCGTGGAAGGTGTTCCAGAGCTTAGAGACGAGGAAGAGCTCCTCACGCTTGACGAGACCGTCCTTGATGGCGCGGGCGACACCCTGGCCAACCTCGACCTCGTTGCCGTAGTCTAGACATGTCAGCTTCTTGTTCGTCGGTACTTGATGTGAACTTTAGAGCCAGGTGAAAAGCATTGGTGAAGCCCAAAAAATGTCAATTGTTGATGTCGCCCCGCATGACGCTGTTGAGCCTTTGTGAAGGGCACCAGGTAAGGTAACGAGGGGCAGTACAAGTGGGGGGGCGACAGGGGGCACCGTCACAGCCAAGACTGACGGACACAGGGGGTCGCGGCGGTACAGCGGTGCAGTGCACTACGTAGGTAGTAGGGGGTGCATGGTGGGGTAAAAGGAGGGGTAAATTCGACCGAAAAAGTCGCGACGCGGAAGGTGGGATGCAGCTTTGACGGATCATGACGGTCGCGGCCAGAGCTCCCAACCCGAGCCATTGACGTTCTGCCTGGCCATGCAGCGTACAGCAGGATTCTCTGGGGCGCCGTCACGACGTTCCGCTGTGCTTGTGTTCCCTTCTCCCTCGCCACACCATGCAAGGAGCTGCGGAGGGGTCGCAAGGACGTACCAGCAGCGCCGTCGAAAAGACGGTATCCAGCCTTGATAGCATTGTAGACGGTGTCGGCGGCAATGGCGTTGTCAACCTTCCACAGGCCGAATCCGACCTGGGGCATGTCGAAGCCCGAGTTCAGCTTAACGTTGGGAATGTTGGCCATTTTGACGGTGTTTCTGTGAAGGCGAGACGAAGGGAGAGGAGAGGTAGTGGTTGGTTGTAGAAGTTTGTTGGTCTTTCTGTCGAAAGAAGGGGGGGTATCACAAGTGGTAGAGAGAATGAGGAGAGAGGAAGAGGAAGATCAGGAGGAAGGGATTCGGACGGTCGACGGGATGGAGCAGATGAGTAAGTAGATATTTATAATTGACCTCTTCTCAAATCAAGTCCTGCCTTCCTCCTTCTATAGCCTGGCGTGAAGCAAGTCATCATTCCCTTTTTTTCCCCCTTTCCCCTCCATCGCGCCCGCTTGCCTGCCCGCACGCCCCCCCTTCCAACCCAACGGGCCTGCCTTTTGTCCAGGTTGCCCCTCATCCCTCACTGCCGCCGCGGGCGTTGCTGGGCACGCCCACCACGACAGGCCCGGTGACGATGGTGGGATGCGCGAGACGGGCTGCTCGCGCAGGAGAGATGACGGCACCTGGTCCATGTGCTAGTGTAGAATGTCCCTAGTCTGTGGCCTCCCGTCCCTTTTTGCCAGGCGACAATGTTACTGATTGGCATGGCTAATACTGGTAAAGGCCAGAGCCGGGCCAATGTGGGACGGGGAAAGAGGGGGAGTCCCCATTCGCGCGTTTAACCCGTCGGGGGGCACATCCAAACTTGTGACGGCTGCCCTTCTTTTTTTTTTTGAGCAGCCCCGTCTCGTCCCTGGTGTACATGTACATGTCCACTAGGAGGGAACTCTGGCGCAGAACCACAGCAACCACCTCCCCCCCCTGGCAAAAGCACCTGGACTGAAACGTAGCTTCCGCCCTGTTATCCCGGCCAGGGCGGACCGTTCTGGGAGCCGGAACTCGGCGCAATTGGCTTAATTTCCAGCCAGGCATGAGGGACGCAAGATGCAGCCCTCTCACGTCGGATCAAATGTGTACCTTTGTACATCACTTGACAGCACCAGCACGTGGACGGCGGGTTTGGCCATCGTTGACTGGACGGACTTCTGCGGTGGAGGATGCCCCTTTAAAAAAACAGGTTGTACGTCTCTGAGGAGAAGCGACACCATGGAGGGTTCACCTCGCCCCTCATTTGGGCGAACTGCCGTGCCAGGTTCTGATAATAAAAGACGAGTCCCTCGACGATCATGAAGAGACAGTTTGGTTGCTTCGGGCCATGGGTCAAGTCAGTTGTAATCTCGACAGCCCCTTCCGGAACTGTCAAGTCGCTCCGGATCTGGGCCAGCCAGTCATTACGACACCCGAGCTAGCCCGCAACGTCCGGAGAGTCACCGGGAGATCTCAGGTACCCACAGGGTTGCCTCGCCTCGCGGATTATCGTCGCACGACGGCCTGGTGCCTGGCTATACAGCCTGGGACACGGGGCGTGAAGTGGGCGAGAAATGGCTGTAGGTAAACCAGCACTAGCCATTCCCTAGCTGTGGGCCCTGGAATATGGCAAAAGTTGGGGGGCAATGGGGGCTCTCCAGCGCTGGGACCCTCTTCGGTCAGTGGCGGGGAAAGAGCCAGCGAGTGGGTGAGTGGGCGCAGGTGAGGTAGCGTTGAGTCGTTATGGGGTCCTTCCCATTTAGCCTAAATGCTGTTTGGCGCGGCTAATCCGATGCGCTCCAAATCCATCTCGCAGTTTCCTCGCAGATTTCCCGGATGTCACCAACGTGCTCTGACTGTGGCAGGACCCGCCAAGCTGGCTTCGGTGTGTCCTGCCCACCTGACCTTGACTCGACAACACAACAACTGTTTGGAGCCATACACCCTCTTGATGCATTCTCAGGGCTTCAGCCCAATCGGCTACTACCCTTTCTATGCGAGTGGTCAAAGCCTCGAGGTTCTTCCTGCCTTGGAATGGGTAGCCCTTTGTCAGACCGTCTCCTTCCACAGGCCTTTGTCTCCAACGCTCACAAGAACCGCCCAGGTGGATGAGCTACATTGCACACCACAGCCTTGTCAACTACTCGCGGGTCGGCCAGCGTCAGGATAATGGCCCCCTCATCCGGAGTAGCATGCTCGCCGCAGTCATGTCTTGTACCTATGGCCCAGAAAGAATCTGTTCCTACCTTTGTTCCAAAACCGCACATCCTTTTTTTTCTTTCCATTATGAGAGTTACCATCCAGCAAAGGAATGTTCATTATCGTCCTCACTATCATCCTCATTCTCTTCCTCGTGATGCCCACTCTCACATAAAGGTCGCACGTCCTCTTCCTCCTGTGGGATGACACCGACCATGTCGCGCCAGAACGCTAAAACCAAACTGTTGGAATTCGAAGTAATACTCCCATCATCTAACATGGCTACCAACTATGGCAGAGCCCCAGGCCACCTCAAGCGGGATGAATCAGTCTACGCTGACGAGGATGATCCCACAGGTCTGGTCCGGCGGAACCTTGAGTGCGGAGATGCTGCTCGATATAGAGGGCAGGCAACGCGACCCATGAACGCAGATGGTACATTGGCGCCACGAAAGCTCAACAGCAAGTTTCCATCCCTCCTCGCAGGCCAGGGAAGGCCCATAGATCAGCTGGTCGAAGCGTTACAGGAGCCTGATCTGGCCGCTGTCAGGGACAGGAAGCGCAAACGCGATGAGGAGAAGGGCGCCAATGTCGGCATGGGCATCACCCTGGAGAAGCTGTTCGGTGTCAGCGGACGTGGCATCGCGGGTCTTGTCAACGTGCCGGCCGTCAATGGAGGCCAGCCCTACCAGTCCGTCTGCAAAGTAGACAGGAGGAACATCAATGACGTTGAAAAGGAAGAAGGTCTTCTGCAAGTAAGAATCACAGAGCTGACCTCATGGAGAGCCTCGGGATTAATGGATTGAACTAGGACTTCGAGGGCTGCAAGCACATTGTGCAGTATGACCGTAACACGCGGTACTTCAAGAATCTCCGTCGCTCCAAAAAGGGAAACAGCCGCAAACCACCTTCACAGTACAAGGACAGACTCAATATCGGAGCGGATTGGAAGCGAAACTTTGTCATGATGGAATATGCAGAGCTGGGGAATCTGCTCACTTGGCTTCAGAGGACCAGTGCTCATGCTGCCGATCCCAATTCCAAACTCGGCCCATGGCCAAACAAGGCGCTGTGGCACCTTCTCGAGTGTCGTATGTCTGACACTCTTGGTTTTGGTGGTATTATCATGTTCTGACCTTCTTTTGTAGTGACGCGGGGTCTGATTGGCATGGCGTACGCTCCTCACGGCGAAGCTAGTGATCAGCCTGGCAAGGTGACTGATGAGACTGTGCCTCCATCTCCAGCACCCGAGGTACGACAAAGAACGCACTTTGACCTCGATCCTAATAATGGTCAGCCTGCTGTCGCCCTCCGATTTCCTTGTTCGCACGCTGAGTCTCGCTAGTCTTCGTAAACCACATGGGCCGAGGCCATAAAGGCAGGCCTACGTTCAAAGTCAGTCTTGCGCTGTTTTCTTCTCCAGAATTCTTTGCTGACTGTTTCTAGATTGGTGATTTCGGCCTCATGCAGGACTTCAGTCTCCTCGAGGAGAACCCTAACGCCTTTTCGTAAGTCTTCTAGGTCCCTTTTCTGGTCATTTCTCCTGCCACGGCACACTTACACGACTCACAATAGCGAGAGAAAGTTCTGGCAGTTAAGGAGTACTGGAAAATCTGGTCACTTTGTACCGGTAAGACCATGAGTGTCACTGAGCCACGATCGGGAAGAATACTTATACTTTTGCAGGAGCAATTCTGTCAAGAGTGGGACGAGTTCAATAACTTCATGGGTTTCAACAACAACGGGAACAAGAATCGGTTCATCGGCCAGGGAGATCTCAAGCCTCCTGTCGCCGGCAACTACGGCATGGCTAGCAACGTCTTCCAGGTTGGCATCATCGTAAGTGATTCCCCCAAAAGCCGCACAGCGCAGCACTGACAGGTGTCGTAGCTCTGGATGGCCATCACCCTACACGTTGCTCCAGGTACGAGAGCCTTCAGAACGCCACTGGAAGCCGGCGTGGGCGTCATGGTCGACAGCACTTTCATGCGCTCAAACGGGCAGAGTCTCCGCACGTACGGTGGGGCCCTCGAGGACGAGAGGTTCAACCACGTAGAGGGAGTCCTTCGAGAGCTCGTTATCCGGTGCATGGCCCACAACCCGGCTGACCGCCCTGACCTCTCTGAGCTCATCGAAGTCATTGATGACCGTCTCCGATCACCATTCAATGTTGACGGCGACGAGCTAGATCAGTGGTATCAGGACCTGTTTGGGCGCCCACCCCCGCAGGCTGATGGCAAGGATGAGGAGGGTAATCCTATCGCCTCTGATCTTCCACGAACAGGGTTCAGCAGCCAGATTTCCAATGAGAGAGCCTCACGCGCCAAAGCGGAGACGGGTGGCTCGAGCTCGTTAACGCAGAAGGAGCTTCAGACATTGCGGGACGCGCTGAGCGTCGCCAAGGCTGTGAAGCGAAGGGCACCTGCGGGTTCGGTCTTTGGTGAGTTGATCAAGGTGTTGCAGAAGGTTCCGGGCGTCAAGAAAGAGAAAGAAGCTGCCAAGAAAACGGCAGATGACATGGCTGGCGGCGAGGACAAGGGAGGGGAGGGCGACGGCGGTAACGAGACTGAAGAGCCCCAGGGGCGCAGCCAGCTTGAACAGCGCCGCGCTGGCAAACGTAAACGGCCACCTAGCATCTCACGGCGCGAGACCAGACAGCAAGCGAAACGCAGAATGGCGGCAGCCAGTTCCGGCAGGGCTGCGATTGCATAACAGAAGACTCTAGTTGAGAGACGGGCTCACGAGCAGTCTGTCTCCGGAGTTGGGCTATGAATGGATACCGCCTGGACAGAAAGTGCTTCAAGGGAGCGACTAAGTTTTTGGGGGGAGGGGGGGGGGTTCTTTTTGCCATTGTTTCCATATTTGTGAGACAACTGTATTTGTAGTTCAATCTTAGAACCCGTTCGATCAAACGTATTAGCCTGAAATACTTTCTCGAGGAGGGAATGTACTGTGCTGCGTTCATGCTGAACGGGGCGATAACAGATGTGCTTGGAATCGATCAGGGATGAAGCAGCTTACGAATGCATTCATCACACAGCTGCTAAGTCCCAGGCGTCCACCTACCACATACTCATGTTGATGGGCAACAGGATATCATAGACATCGGAACAGCCATGAGCATCAATCCGTCCTTAGGGTTCGAGACAATGCGACGTTGTTGATACATAGCTTTGGGACACTGGCATCTTGCAGGTCTTCTGAGCGCGGATCGTGAATGTGAGCGTGGGCACCGCTATTCGTCTGCCCAAGAGTTCCCGCGAGCGTTCTACACGCCCTTCCCTATCATACAGGCCCCGGATCCAGACAGCAAAGGGTTACGCCAAGTTCATGAACACCCCCCACGCACCGGTAACAGGTCATCTGGCCATAACCAGCATGTTCACCAAACTTCCCGCTTTTCGAAATGCCAGGCTCGCGACGCAGTGGGCACGGAATACGATGGCTACTGATGGGGTCTCGCCTGGCAGATGACAGAGGCCGAGCTTCCCGATTATCATCTTCAGCCACGGGCTGGATGGGTCGAGAACTATCTACAGTTCCATCTGTGGTGAACTGGCGAGCTACGGGCTCATGGTGATTGCTTTGGAACATCGGGACGGCAGTGGCGCCAGGACATATGTCAACCTGCCGGGAGAGCAAGAATTGTCTGAAACCGACTCAGAGGCAAACCTCAATGTATCTGACACGAGTGGAGAGTCGCAGAAAAGCAAGAGCACCAAACTGCAGTCGCCGCAGCACTACTGTGTCGATTATTTCTTCCCCTAAGACAATGCGCAGGATACGTCACCTCATAACGCTCGCGGTGTCGACACGGAGCTGAGAACGGCACAGATCGATATGAGGATAGCCGAGATGGAGGAAGCTTTTCATGTTATGAGCCTCATCAATGACGGAAAGGGCAGTGAGGTGTCCGCAACTAATCTGCGCCGCCAGGGCAACGTCGCGTCAAGCTTACAAGGCCTGAGTGGAATCCGATGGGACGACTGGACAGTACGCATGTTTACAAACAACGTGACTGTCATGCGCCACTCTTTTGGCGGTGCGACAACAGTACAGTGTCTCCGGAAATCCTCTTTAACATGGATTGGACAGGGGATCATTCTTGATGCGTGGGGTCCAGCAACACCGGCGGCGGGGAAGGGCCGGATCAGCAAGCCGCTTCTGTCTATCGGATCAGAGGCCTTCATGCACTGGCAAGAAAACTTTGAGCGGCTGGTGGACCTCTGCCACGAGGCGCGCGAGGAGAATCCGGCGACGTTGACGTGAATGCTCACGGTCCGAGGCTCGACTCACTTGTCTCAGACAGACTTTGCTGTGCTCTATTCGACGTGGATGGACCTGCTGGCGAAGACAGTGGTCAACCCGCTGCGGGCAATACATTTGACGGTGGCGCCGTCGCTCGAGTTTCTGAAGATGACGCTGCCTAGGGAGCAGTCGGTCAATGACATGTGGGTGGACGAACAGATCCTCAAGACAATGCAAGCGCCGGCGGACCCCGAGGCTGCAATGGGACAAGAGCATCGTCCGTCAGACGACTGGATTGCAGTGCGGCTAAAGGTTGACAATGAAGTGTCGTGGCGGGCGCGTGGCTGGTTCCGGCAGAAGAGGTGGTCACTGTGGCGTGAGAGAAGAGACGAAGAGCCTGAGGGCCTAGTGGACTGGGACTGTGGAGACGAAGTTTGGATGCACTTCAGTCCAGGAGAAGAGGTTGTGAGGCGGCATGTCAAGTAGGCGCTACTGCGTCATGACCTCGGTGCAGCATGGTTTGGAGTTTCAGTGATACCAATTGAGCAACTGACATTTTTTCCCCTCCCACTCTCGCTCCCCGTTCCGTCATCGTTAAAATTGCTTCTCCAGCTGCGGTTCTTGTACAAAATGGTGAATTGGAAGATGTTTTGGCTGAGAGTAACCTGTAGGAGCGGAGCATCCGAGACACGCACGGAGGATCGTCAGTGTGGTCCTGTGGCCGTGCGGCCCAGGCGTTACAGAGCGACAAGAACGGACGGGCGTTGACAAATGCAGGGCGGTCTCAGGGGACTCGCCGTTCTAGAGCCTGGTGTTTGGTGTTTGAGGCGTAGGCCAGCTTGGCCAGCAAGCCAGCAAGCCAGTTGGGGGTAAGCTAGCTCGGGCAGGATGGATCTTTGTTGATCGAGCCCAGTCTGGTAGTGCGATGTTAGCTACTGGATTCAGAATTGGGCGCCATCTGGAGCCGACGGGAGCTCCGTGGGATGTGGGCCAGACTCGATCCGACCAAGGCCAAGCGAGGTCCCTTCGTCAATGAGGAGTCCATAAGAGGCCAAGTGATTGACGAGCCGCAAACGCGAAACAAGAACTGACTACCTCTGCCCGTGGCGGAATAATGCTGGTGAGAAAAGAGGGAATCCGAGAGGGGGAGAGTAGAAACATCGTTTACCTATCCTTCCGTCCGCTGCTTCCAAGAAAATCTCCCAGCTGTCCTGCTATTACCTCTTGCTGGTACCTTGGGCCCCTGACGGACCAGTACCAAGTATATGAGTGCAGGTGCAGGTGCAGGTGCAGGTGCAGGTGACGTGCACCTGCGTCTGCAAATGCATTACGCCTTCCAGCGAAAACGAGGAAAGCTGAGAAGGGGGCAGGCGCAGACAAAAATAGACGATGCATCGTGTTAGCAGGCGACGCCGACGCTGGCAGGCCCTCGCGCCGATCCTGGGGCGCTCATACTAACAGTGGGGCCAGGTATAGCTGCAGATCTGGCGGCTGTTTCCCACCTCCCACCTCGTATCCGAACAGACCACGATGGAGTAAGAACATCTTTTTTGCTGCAGCTGCTGGGTCATCCTGGTCACCGTCAGCTGCGTTGGGTCAACAAATCTGACTGCTAGGAAAGGCGACCGCCCGCCCATGCCCCAAGCTCCAAGCTCGAGGTGCTCCTTCCCCACTAACCGTTGCTTCAGGGCAATGGAGCAACGGAGTACAGCCTGACAGCAGGTGCCTGTCCAGCGTACTTTCTTGTTTGGTGTCTGGTCCAACCTACAGATTCTGGCAAAAGTGAACACATACAAAACCAATAGAAAAAATTCAGCTTCACACCCGCATGCTTCTCCACCACAGTCACCAAGTTTGTAGGCAGGCCAGGGCTGTACCAATATTGACGAACAACGCATTGCCGCCGCCACTGCAAGGTCGCAGTGGCTGCTGCCGGCATCCGTTCAGGAATTGTGTCCCGTCACCCCCGCTCACCCCCTCATTGGCGATTCACGACTCTGTTAGCGACCAGTCAAAGATATGAACCTTGGGGGGCCTAACAGACGACAGTCTGATGTTTCTCTTGGACTGATGCACGACCACGCGAACTGACCACTAATCCTGGATCGGTCCCCCTGATCCGCTTTCTTTACACCCACCTCCTCCCTTGACGACCCCCGATGACCTGGCTCTGGCTAGCTTGTTACTTTTTAGCCTCCCTCGTCTCGCTTCAGACTTGGGCCGGCCAGGACAAGCCAGCCGGATTGATCTAGGCGCGCCCCTCTTTCGGATTGTCCTGACATGGCCTCGCCTTGGCCCGCCTCTTAGCGGCCTCTCTCGGTGGCTTCTCTTTCCACGCTGCTTCTGCCGGAGTACTCTACCGGGACGGACGGTCGTGAACTTACTTACTTGCACCGTCGTCACATCCCGTTGCACTCCCCCTCCCTTCTCTCTCCTTCTTTGTCGTCCTTTAATGCAAGCCATCGCGCCAGATCTCGTGTCACGAGCATCGTCACTCTCGTTTTTATTCTTCTTCTTTCCAATCCATTCTACGGCACAAGAATTCAGTAATATCCAGCAGACAGACCGATCGCTGATCACCCCACCTCTCAACACCTAGACCTCAACCTCACCTCACCTCAACCATTATCGTCGCCAATAGACACTTCCGCGCATGCGAGGGCCAGAAGTAGTCACAGACATATCACACGTCGCATCCCCGCCGCCCCGAGGACAAAAATAATAACCCGTCGATTATTGCGCTTGCAACAGCGTAGCCCGCTTCTCTTCCGTTTCGCTGATATACCGCTTCCTTTTCTTTGTGTGCTCACTATTCTTGTTTGCTCGTCGGCAGGACCCACCGTGATATACATTCACCAGGATCATTTACCGACGCCAATTATACTGACAAAGGCCGGTCTCCCACCCCGGTATTAAAACTGGCCATGGCCTCTGCCACTGCCCGTTGGGAGTCCGCCGCCTCTGCCCATCCTTCGAGATCCTCTAATATGGACAAGATGCTGGGGTTGGAGCGCAAGTGCAAGGTAATACCTCCTGCACTTCACCAATATCACCTCCGTCTGGCTAACATTACATTCCCCTCGTAGATGGAACGGCTTCATCAGACACCGTTGATGAATCCTCTGTCGCAGAACCCTCCGTCACCATATGAGCAATCTCACCTGCAACCGCTTCAGCAACGCACTAGCACCATGCCTCCGCCTCCACGCGCTCCTTTGCAGGCCCGCCGAAGAGATTCGTCCGTCCCTTGCGACCTCCTCGCCACTGCCTCGAATTCTCAAACTAATGAGGTCGTTGGCTTGTCCATCACTGTTCCTCCGCCACCCAACCGCAACACGCCTCAGATCGAGCGAAAGGCTGAATCACGGCCTCAGGCCAAGGTTGAACCTGTACCCACAGTCGAGGCACCACTGACGCCCCTCAAGTCGTCTAGCAAGACTGTTACCTTCATGCCGGGTGAGAAGGATGAGGGAAAAGACGACGCCTCCTCCATCTGCCAGTCTCCCAGCTGGGAAGGCTATGGGCAGCGCAAGAAGGAAAAGAAGGACGAGGCCAAGCAGCGACGCAAGGACGAGAAACAGGCTGAAAAGGACAATAAAGACGCAAAGAGGAAGTCCACCACACGCCTGACCAAAGCCCCTCCTACACCGAGCCACCCGCCCATCACCGAGAGATCTTACTCGAGTCCTGCCTTGACAACACAAAAGCACACTCGTCGCTCCAGCTCCCAAGAACCAACGCCACCGCTGTCTGCTCGCCCTAAACATGGCAGGTCACGGTCTAGTTCTGTGACGTCTCAGCTCCGTCTTGCCCTAACCGGTAATTGGGGCAAGGAGAAAGAATCTGGTTTCGTCGGAGGTCTCAAGTTGGATCAAGAGAGGGAAGCCGCCGATCGTCCTGCTGATGGCCACAGCACACAGGCGGTTCAGAAGTCGTCACGCAGTTCGTCTCGTGACACCAGGTTCAACTTGAGTTTACCCAAGGCCCACTCTTTTGGAACAGGATCGCGAGCCTCGAGCCAGACGCGCCCCGGACTGCCCCGCCAGATGTCCGCTGATGGACAGTCAAATGTCCACCCACTCCTCCGCCGAAAGGGCGCTTCACCCATTTCCATACGCTCATCATCCCGGTCTGAGATTCTCATCTCGCCTACTGCACCACCGATGCCTGGACTGAAGACACTTGAGCAATGGAGGACCCGTCCGAAGCCCAAAGCGCCTGAACAGGAGCCCATGACGCCTGAGGAGGCACTTAAGGCGTCCGCGCAAGAACTTATCAAGGCCAAAGCAGAGGAAGCTGGGCTCGCTATTGGCAGCCCTGACACGGAGGAGCCGAGGCGAGGACGTCAATTTGCGAACTACGTCCGTCGTTCACGATGGCAGAGTTCAGAGCGGGCGGGCTCTGTGGTGGTGGAAGAAGGTCGCACATCAGCACGGTCCCATTACCCGCCTCAAGCGAATCGTCAACATCACAGCCGTGCATATTCGCTAGCTACGGATCGAGTCTCAACGACCCAGGGTTCTTCTACCCCACGGACTAACCTCTCCGGTGAGTCTCGTACACCCGGAGACAGCACCCCTGAGGTAAACCGCCTCGGCGACCGCTCGACTTCGACCGATAGGTTACCAATCACCCCTTCACTGGGCCCTAATGGGTTTAAAAGTGCCATGCAGGCCGCTCTAGCCAAGGTCAGACCGACATCCAGACCACCTACCGCGGCGTACTTTGACCGCCCTCGCCGTGACGCCTCGACGCCCGATTCCAGAGCTACATCTCGAACATCCAATCGCGACCGGCTGTCGCACATGCCAAAAGCAGCCCGTGTCCTAGGCGAGTACAATGAAGAAACCATGAGGGGACATGATTCCGCGCGACCCTCGTCGGCGTCTTCTTCTTTCTATGCCGATTCGATTCACTCGCCATCCTCAGTAACGACGCCGAGTTCTTCACGCCCCCAATCGCACAAGGGTTTTCCTGTTATGGTTGGCGAGGTTAGTCAGGGTGCGACGGGTCACTTTCTTGTGACCGACGACGAGAGATCATGCCAGCAGTCGCAGCGTGGCACAATGACCTCGGCATCGAGCCCAATGACCCCGAGAAGTGTCCTTCCAGGGCTCACTCAGATAGTCCAAAAGGACAATGCAGGAGAGTCCGACCTGGAGCAATTCGTGCGTGAGAGTTGGGATAAGACGTTGAAGCACGCAGAAAACGATGTCGAGTCATTCACGACTTGCCTGACACCACAAGAAGCAGACGAATCCAAATCTTTGGTCTGCCCTCCTATGTCTGGCTCTCATGATCAGGTAGAGCCCAAAGAGGAGAGAACTCAGCTCGAAACGGCTGCGAACACCCTCGCCCGAGCGCCGAGCTTGTCTAAGAGCCAGTCAAGCCCCAACGTCGCCAAAGCCGGACTCGGCCCGGACCCGGCCCCAGTACCACCTCCGCGATCCAACGCACGTACCAGCCCTACCGTGGGACACACTTCCTCCGTATCCCTGCCGGATGCACTGACAATGACATTCGGTCCGTATCGCACGACCGACCCTGCCGTGCCGCGCCCCTTGCGCAGCCCCCGCATGCCCGGGTCCCCCTTGGCAAAGATGCTCGTCGAGTGCTGCCAGTGTCGGTTCTTCCACGACATGCCGAGCCGGGTGTACGAGTGCATGGCGCGCCCCGACGCCACTGCCGAAGACTCAGCTCTCGGTGTCAGCGGCTCTATCACGACGTCAGTCAACTGCCCCTGGTGTAAACATGGCATGACTACAGGATGTTGCAGGGGCTATGCGGCCGAGGTGTATCTCAAGCAGAGGCTGCACTAGGTGCAAGCCGCGCTCAAGTGGGAAGGAACGGTACGAAAAGGAGTCCTGGATGCGTTGCTCTAGATGATGGTGGGCGGGAACTTGCTTGGACCTCTAGAAATGAGAAATGTGTTTATTACGTGTACATATACAAGGTCTTTGCTGCCCCTTATAGATGATGTTATCTTCAATTCCAACCCTCACAGCTTCAGCATGGATGACTTGAGGAGCATAGTACATGCTAGTGGTGACACACAATGGTGGTTGTTGCTGTGCACAAGGTAGCTCTTGCCCTTCACTTGTATGCAACACTGGGCGATTTGGACAAGTAGGATGGCTCAGGTAAACGCATCAAGGCAAGGAAATGGTATCTCGCGTTACTCCATGCGTATGCTCTTCAAAGACGCCAGCGCTGGCTACCAGAGCTGCTGGCCCTCTCCATCCACTGTCCTTTTCACGCCGAAGACCCGCCGGCTCCCTGCTCCGGCCTACTGATCTTGAGGCTCTCTTCCATGGCCTTCCTCAGGTCCTCGTCGTTCTCATCCTCGTCCTCGACTCTGGCCTTGCCCTTTCCATGCTGAGATCGAAAGCCGTCTTCGGCTAGGCTCTGCTTCTTAACATACTCGAGCACAATGTCCTCCTCTGTCCTAGCCGCCTGGTTCTTCTGACGGTGATCGTCGTGTGCTGTCTTGGACTCCTCGATCGCGCGGCGGAGCTCCTCGTCGTGATCGGCCAGGTTGCTGCTCTTTGAAGCTTCGATGGCTCGTTTCAGGTCATATTCGTGCGTGTCGCCGTGTGCTTGGCCGCTCGGAATCTTGGACGCCTCTAAAGCGCGCTTGAAATCTTCGTCATCATCTGGCGCGCCCTCGCCTGGCCTGATGCCGGCCGAGCTCATCGTCAAACTCTGCTGCATGGCCTTTTCAATGAGCTCCTGGTACTCCTGATCCGTGATTTGAAGATCTTCTTCCCCTTCGTCCGAGTCGGCGGCAGGGTGGTTCGTGCCCGGAAGACCCTGTCCAGAACTGCGCATCTGATTGACGCTCGCGCGGATGGCCTGCTCGACTTGCGCATCCTCTTCGGGATTACCACGCGACGTCTCGGCCACAGAAGCCTGGATGGCTCTCTCGTAGTCTTCGTCTTCAGCTTTGCCGTGGGCCGAGCCGCCAGAATCAGCACGACCTTGTTCAGATAAGAAGGATGGAATCTGCAGATCAACCTGAGAGGTCTGTGACTTGTTCTTGCGCGCATGCAGGGCCTTGCGCTCATCGAATGACAGGTGTTTTGTGTAAGAGAAACCTGTTCTGGGCGGTTCGTCCTCTCCCGGCAACTCAGCCGGCTCTCCGCGAGCTTGACGCTCAGCGCGTTGCCGCTTCTCTTCCTCCTTCTGCTCCTTAATCTTAAGTGCGCGCCACTTCCGGAGATCGTACTTGACCTTGTTCCAACGGACGAGGATATCCTCATGCTGTTCGGGAAGGGAATCGTTGAGTTCGAGCTCGCCCTGTTTGATTCGAGATGCAATGATGTAGTTCTGTACACTGCTCGCAAACTGGTTCCGGAGCGATGCGTGGACGCCTTGCATGGTGTATGCTGGTATGGACCAGAAAGCTGGAAAGAAATGTCAGTCTTGGACATGGCCGCATGCAAGTTTCACATACCTGCGGCAGGCTTCGTCATGATGCCACCAATACCTTTAGCGAAGCCCTTTGCCAGGCCTGCACCGCCCTCTTTTTGAGCTCCTCTCAATGGCTGGGTTACCAGACCAGAGATGCCGTCGTATAGACCTAGACCAAACTCTTTGCCAGCGACCTTGAGCCCAGTGGGCAAATCAGTCACCTTCTCAACAGGACGAACTGTCTCATCTCCGTAGAGCTTCGGCACGTTCCTGAAGCCTCTCGCAAGGCCGAGACAAAAGTTCATAGGCGACTTAACACCTGTCGTCACTATGCGACCAACACTCTCACTGGCACCCATGACCCGTTCTGCTGTCTCGTCAAGCTTAAATCCACTCGATGACGATGTCTTCCTATTGGTGGAGGGCTTATCTTGGGGCTTCAAGCGATCAGCGTTGGTACCCAGCTCTTCGGTGGAGGCGGTTGAATCGGTGTGGGTGAGCTGAGTTTGACTAGAAGCCGCGGGACCGCTAAATGTCGAAGAATTTGATGACATGATTTGGCTTGTTTCGGTACCTTGCAGCTCGGCCTTCAAATATTCGGCATCCTCTTGAACTGTTGGATGCTGCAGGCTGGAGAGCGAGTCGCTGGTGAGCGCCTGCTGTGAGCTGCCTCTTTCACCAGAGGATCCAGTCGGAGTGGAATCAGCCTGCGGTGTGGACGGGCCTGACTCTTCCTTCTGCGGTTTGGGGCGAGACTTGAAGAGCTCGCGAGGGAAGTCAGCGATTGCCATGCCAATGCTGCTGATATCTGCGACGAGCGAGCATGTGACGGCGGAAACCGGATCCCAAGGTTGCTCTTCAGTATTGTACTCTTTAGGTCGAAACCTCGGTCATGTTAGATTTGCAAGATACGAACGCGTGGGAATTTCGCTTACAGTTTCAGATCTGTGTACTTGATCTGCTGCTTGTTCACCAAAACGGCTGCAGCAAGAGGGCTCAGTGCGACCTGCGTCCGCCTGACTCTCCACGCCGCTGTCCGACTAGGCGCCAGCGCACATCGCAGGTCGTCGACATTGAGATGGCGATGGAAGCTCTTTCCGCCTTCTTCGCTACCCTTCTCTTCGCGAATCTTGTCACCCAGCTCCTGCGCGCGAGCTTGGGTCTCAGACTTCATGCAGTAATTCAGAGCATCCGCAAGCTTCTCGCTCGTGAGATCCTTGTACGGAATAGGTGCAGGACCGGCTCCAGCTCTCTCGACCATGGCGCCCCAGAATGGCTGGTCACCAAAGAAAGGCACAACGATGGTGGGCTTGCCTGCCTGAATACCTGCGGCGCTGGTTCCTGCGCCGCCATGATGACACACGGCGGAGACATGCTTGAATAACCAATCGTGAGGAACGTTGCCAAGCATGAAGACACCATCAGGTACTCCAATCGACTCAGCTCCCAGGCCGCCCCAGCCCTTGGATACCAGGGCTCGGATACCGGTGGCCTGGACTGCTTCAAAAATCATTGTAGTGAGGGCGTTAGGGTCATCCACGACGATTGACCCAAATCCTATGTAAACTGGGGGCGGACCGGCCTCCAGAAAAGCGGCCAGATCAGGGTCAGGGGTAAACGAGGAGGCGAGATTGAGGAAGAAGAAGCCTGAAATGTCGATGTTGTTGCCCCAGTCATTGGGCTTCGGAATGAGTGCCGGCGACCAGCAGTATGTGTAAGGGATACGCAACCTCGTCAGCAGACCAGGAGCCCAGATGAGGGAGATGGGGTCCAAATCCAGAGCCTTTGCTCGGAACCTGTTGATGACATCGCCGAGACCTTGCCATGTCATCATCTCTACTAGAGCATAAGATAGGTAGCTTGTCATGACAGCATCCGTGTTGGTCGACTGAATGTTGGCGAGGGGATGAGGGAATGCCCGAGTTGGCGACCAGGGCATCGTGAACATCATGTGCAGCGGGATGCCTAGCTTCTCGGCAATATGAATGTGAGCAAAGCTCGGAGGGTTCGCGATGATGGCATCCGCCACAAAGGGTCGCTGATCGCCCGGTCTGAAAACCTCAGTCTCTTCGAGAGGCTGGTCTCTGCGATGCTTCTTCGGCGGCGGTCCGAGCCCGTTGCCAGCCTCGATGCAGGACCTCCAACAACCGAGAAGTATATCCTGGATGCCCTTCCTCCGCTTGCTGATCTCACCATTTTTGAGGGCATCAAAGCCCGGCATGAGACCTGGATTCTTGACCATGAAAGCCATGAGTTCAGCAGGGTCGCCTCCTATACAGAAAAACTCGAGCCCAGCGTCTTCGACGAAGCTTTGAAAAGTAGCGTGTGTTGCTATACGAACACGGTGCCCATACTCGAGCAATATCTTGCCAAGTGCCACAAAGGGCTGAACGTCGCCTCTGGATCCCACAATCTGTATGACGATGTTCATGGGTGGCGGCGGCGTCTGGCCCGGCTGACCACCGAGACTGGGTGGGATGTAGGCCGGAGGGAGGGGAGCATCGGCGACGTTTTCAGCGAGCTGTTGCCTCAGGGTTGGGGCAAGCAGATCAGTGAGGCGCCTGTTCTTCTGATTGATGTTGATGTTGACTCGTCCATCCTCTGTCGAGCGTCAGTTGTGTGATTTTCGGAGAGCCCCGAGGGCCGGCAGCATGAGCGCTCACATACCGGTAACACTTGCGCCGGCTTGAATGCCGGACTGTGACAGCTGAATCTGGTCATGAAGCTCGCCGTAAGCGGGGGGTGCTTCAGTCTCCGCCTCCAGGTCGGGCAGACTGAAGCCGTCAGAAGAGAAAGCGGTGCCAGACTGTTGTCGTGCGTTGGGGCGCGGTCTGGTATGCGCCGTGTCAGAGTTGCTCGCACCCGTCGGTGCAGAGCTCCCTATGGCGGTCTTATCAACGGTCATATTGGCTGGTGAGGCTCGTAGACGTGGTACAACGTCAAGATCCCCGAGCACGAAGCGTGTGCGTCCAGCTGCTGCGTAGAAGCAGTGCAAGATAAAGACTCCTCAAAAAAGGCGGGATGTATGGAGAGTTTACGAATGATGCTTCGTCATCTAGGCGGCAGCTTTGTGCGAACTCTAATCAAATGTGATATCGTGCCGAGTCGGTGCCGGTCATGAAGCTCCACGTCGTGTCCTCCAAGGGCTGGTTGGTTTGAGCGTGAAGGCTGTGCAGGTGTGGTGCGCGATTCAGTTCAGTGTAGGAGCCACTGAGTCCCAAGAGCGAAATGATGAAGACTGAGAAGGCAATAACAGGGGGGGGGGGGCCGCTTGATATGTATACGATGGAATTCAAAGAGGGACAACGCAAGGTAACATGGCATGCAGCTGGGATAGGTAGCAACTTGTGGAGGCAAAACGAGGCCTAGAAGTCAGGCGCTCTGAGGCAAGAGGTGGAAACCGGGCGATGAGGGGGAGGGGAAGGTGCGCGAGAAGGCAGTGACGTACGATGCTGATCGCCCCTCCCCCCCCTGAGAGCTGCACTCCAAGGTGCCTGACGCTGACAGAGTGCCCTGGCGGGATGCACAGCAACCTTCCAACACGCTGCCAGGTCAAGCGAATCAGGAGCCAGCTGCGCTCCTTCTCACCCGGTTTCCAGATCCAGCCATTATGGCGTAACCTACCATTTTCACTGCCACCACGAGTGGCGCGTCAAACTCGCATCTTACCGTCTCATTTAGCATGTGCATTCTGGAGCAGATGAAGCTCAGAGCCGTGGCTAACTTGACAACGCAATGACTTGACGTCTCTGCTTGTCAACCTGATCAAAGCGCCCTGTTGCTTGCCCAACTTGCAAATTATCATGTCCTCTTGTAAGGAATTCGAGGTAGCACCTGTCGGCTACATGCAACTACACACCAACACGCAAACACACTCCACGGTTCAAACTGCAAAGGGCGTCAAGATTCCTCGCCTAGACATCCCCATGAAACTGGTATAATACATCCCAACCACTCTTCCTGCACAACCGCCCCTGGTACCTGTGCCCGCTGCCGAGGGAAGAATGGTGACCCCAACAGGAGGCAAGAGAACGTGCGCCGTCCATTAGAGCAGGCCCTGAACAGAAAAAGAGTCGTGCCTGCTTTTCTTTTATTCGTCTCGCCGCACCCAGGATATCCCGCAGGGCTCGAACGACCGCGTCGAAAAAGGGTCGCAACCGTGATGCAGTCGCGCTCGCTTCTCCCAGCTGATTTTTATCGGCTCAGCCCAATCGTTGTCAGTTCATCCTCGTCAATGAGAGCGCGCGCCGTTTAGCTGGAGAACTTCCTGGTGACCTTGGCGATGACTACAGTAATGTGTTAGGAAATAATGTGTATAGAAGTGATACGTATGGTTTGGCGGCAAGGCAAAACGTACTGTGCAGAGCGACAACGCTGAAGATGAAGACGAGAGACAGAACGAGAACGACGACGGGGTCGACCTTGAGTCCGGGGGACTCGTCGGTGTACAGCCCTGTTGAGAAAGCACGAGTTAGCAAATTACGGCCCGCTTGACATTCTCCCTTTTAACTGAGATTGGGCGTACTCAGCATGGTGCTGGAGCTGCCGCCGGCGCCGGCGGCCCTCGTGCTGCTTGGCCTGGCATTGGCGATCTTCTCCTTCTGGTCGGCGGCGGCGCGGCGACGGATGGCGGTACGGGGGCCGCCGGGGATCGAAGGCGACGAAGGGCGGGCGATGCTGGCGCCGGACGCGGCGGGGGTGCCAGCAGGCGAGGCGGCGCGAGGAGAAGACTAGAAGTAGGCCTCCGTGTCAGTGGACTGGTTATGTTGTCTTGGGTAGGTCCTCGCGATGGGCCATCGTGGCCTCGTCGCGGCGAGCGTGTCCTCCTCAACGCCCCCTTAGGAGATCGGCCATTGTTCGTGACGCTGCATTTCGGGACATACCATTGTAACGGTCAAGGAAGCGGAGGGCCCTGGGTATCACTGCAGGATGGTCGGGTCGAGTTTGATGTGGGAGGGGATGGATGAATTAAGCTCGGCGATGGGAAGAAGGCAAGGTGGTTGATGGGGGCAGGACAGGTTTGTCTCTCTCGGCTACTGTTGGACACGGACACCCACCCAAAAGAGGCCACATTTTTGGAAAGGGGACCTACCCGCCTGGGGTCGCTTGCAGTGGAGCGCGTGCGGCGAGCTGCCACCACCGACCAGATGCGAACCGGCGCGCCGATGTTCTTCCGACGCCTGCTTGATTCCAAAGGCAAATTCCAGGCCTCTTGTCCGTGTCTCTAAGCTCCACCCGACCGCGCCTGCATCTCTCCAGGTTTCCCCACTGGCCACCCGCCATGGGATGTGATCTGGCCCCCTCCCCTCACACGTGAATTCTCATCTGAGTCGTACCCTTTCGGCGCATCAGTCATTCGGGTGCCGGTCAGTAATCAATCAGAATGAAGAAGAACAATAGCAAGAAGCCGTAGAACGCCGACAGAAAAATCACTTCATCATGTATATATCAGTCAAATCCGGTAACTCTTAAATTGGTATGGTGTACGAATGACGCGGTATTTGCTGCCGGACGCTGCTCCTTGAGCTCGCCAGCAGCTCGACGCCATCTTCTGCTCTCAAGCCAGCCGCATCTACTACGGTCTGGAAACCACTTCCTATCGACTGGCTACTCACTCCCGCGCAAATGCAACGACGGAGAGCGGGCCTGCTCGCAATCTCGATCATGTGCGTGTATGGACTGAAACAATGTAAAGCTGAGTAAAAGACAACAACACTGCCTGACGAACCCTCCACCACTGTCCGTCATCATTATCCCAAAAACGCACTCAAAGCCATACTTCTGTCGCCCACAAATGGGCTCCAACACATGCTATCTAGTCCTGCCACAACGCGTGTGAAGTCGGCTATGTGTTCAACCTGTTTGAGCGGGGCTGGTATCAATAATCGATAGAGCATTTGTTCGCGTCGTGAATCGGTTTGGGGCTTTGTAAGGGCACCGTGTTGTCGCCAATGCTCGTATATAGATTAGACAGTAATACATCTACACCAAGAAAAAATAAAGCAGAATCGCAACCGAAACGCCTGCCGCTATGATGGGGGCGGAATCCCGTACCCTTGGGCGGGACTGCGAACGAGAAAGAAGAGAAGGGGATGGGGGTATCATCAGAGAGTGACATCGAGGACCAGGCTGACGTCTTGCACGTTGGCGCCTGCCAAGTCTTCGAGAACTGGGATGAGATCAAGCAGCTCGTTGTCGTGGGCGTCAGAGAACCAACTGCTGATGGGCACGGCGTGTTGCGGGTGGAAGATGTAGGACGTAGGAGAATTGTCGATGATGATCGTGTCTTTCAAGTCTCGTCCCACCTGGGAGAGATCCTTGACGTAGTTTCCTTGGTGGTTGTAGCAGCTCTCGCGGAAAAGCCTGTGGTGAACGACCTTGTGGATGTCGAGCTGGTCCAGAAGGGGGTCGCCGTACTGAGAGGCGGCGTCAGTCAATCAAACACGATATTTTATGTAGAGCAATGTAATCTCACCTTAGAGACGGATGCTGTGAAGACGACGACTTCATACAGCTCACCGACGCGCTTCATGAACTGATCGACGCCGGGTCGCTTGATGACATAAACGTTGTGGTAGTTGCCCTCAATCTCAACCGGTATGGTGAAATCAGCCTGGTGCAGGATCTGGCGTTGTGTTAGCACGCAACGAGCTTGGGGAACCCTGAGAAATCGCTCACCTTGAACGAACTGTGCACGAGTGTCTCATCGAGGTCAAGCACAAGACACTTCTTTCCCTTGAATTCGGGTGCGATGGGAGGCAAGAGCGAAATCCTTTGCGGCTCTGAAATTGGTAATTGCGCGGCCTCGGCGTTGCTCACAGGCAGAGGTGGGATACTGGTGGTGGGCGCCGGACCCGGAGGGGGAGGTGGGACTTGACTCGACTGAGATTCGGGCGTGGGGACTTGACCCTGTGCCTTCTCTTCAGCGACCTCAGGTATCGTGGCATCGGCCATGACTTCGTCGCCGTCAACATCCTTGGTCGTCGTGGGAATGTCTTCAACCGGCGCAGGCTCGGGTTTCGTGTCGGCGGACCTATCAACCGTAATAGCCGGTGCATCCGCGACGCCGCCGGCTGCCGGCTGCTTGTGATCAGAGCTCTCTGGAATCACTGGCACGGGTTCGTCAACGGCCGTGGTGTTGGAACTCCGCTTGCCCTTTTGTTCGGCGGCCGTCATTGGAAGTTCTGGTTGAGGCTGCTTCTCCTGCAGTTGGCTTTTGCTAGATGAAGGCTGGTCCTGTGGGGTCGCCTGCCTAGACTTGGATGTCGTCGGCCTAGCTGGGAGCCTGTCAAGTTTGTGGACACCCTGCTCGTTTCCTTCCAAGGCCTGCGCGCTGTCGGGAACCCCGCAGCATCCCAATAGGGAAAGGAGGCCGCCCTTCTTCTTCTTCTGGGGCGGGTTGGTGGGCGAATTCAACTGCGAGTTTCCGGGTGTGTTGGTCGGCTCAGTCTCAACCCCCGATCGGCGGCTGGAAATACTGCCGTTACGTTGACCGCCCATGATGCTGCTTCGAGATCCTTTAGACCTGTCGCTGATACTGTTACGCGAGTCGCTGACAGTCACACCGCTCAATCCAGTAGACGTCGGCGACGCTTGGTTCCTCTGCGAAGAGGTTCGGGAGGGTACGTGTAGGAGACCGTGCTGTGTCTTCTTTATGCTGCTACTGTCCTCGGGTGTCAAGAGACTGCTGCCCTTGGTGGTGTCCTGGGTGGACTGCGGCTCGTTTCGAGTGCGAAGAGTAGTGTCGTCGGATGGAATAGACTCTTGGAACTTCTCGGACATAGTGGCGTTGCCTGCTAAACTACTGGTTCCAGGTCAGCATGGGTTCGTGATCTTGAACGGATGAGACGCGCGCAGTTTGACGCGACGGCAAATGAAGCGTTGCGAAAAGCAGCCGGATTGGGGATGACGCAGAGGTGGTCGAGTGCTGGCCGAACCAGGTCTCCATTACAATTCCGTCTCGTCGTGCTCCATGAGAAAATCCGAGACATTGCAGCGGCGCTACTGTGGCGTTCGCAATCGGTCATCTTCGTCGCGGGGAACTCTGCAGCTTCTTCTCGCGAGTGGGAAGATGTCGCGGCGCAAATCACCATCGGTGATATCAACTCAGGCAGACTCACCACCTGTTGAGAGCCGCTGGCTGCGTGAACCGATTCACAGGCAGAACCAGGAACTCGTTCTCCGAAAATCGAGAGCCCTCAAGGGCTGGTTCGAATCTCGGGGGCGCGCCGGGTTGCGATGATCTGAGTATTGTGTGCAGTCAAACAGTCTGCGAATCAAGGCGAAGAAAACGTTGAATATGGTTATCCTTGGGCGCGAAAATTGATCGACTTTCGTGAAGCTTGGTCGCGAGAGGCCGGTACTGGCGAAACAGGTGGCTGGGTTCAACTGGCGGGCGCTCGGTCGGTCGGCAAGGTATGGGGCGAAATAGAATTCGAAGAAGGCGAAAGACAGGTCAATAGGATGTAGCTTGACGGAAGGGCTGCGAGCTCTGTATAACGAGTGAAGCTGGAGGCTTTGTTCCGTCGAATAGGTCGAGTCGTTTCCGGTAGACCGCGTTACCGTGCGGAGGAGTACGGCGATGGCGTGGAGAATGAAAGAGGAGCGTGAATGGGAGACAACGGGAGACGAGACAAGACTGGAGCGACGGGGATGGGGGGGTCGAATAGCGTGGTAGAGGCTGAAGAGCGAGAGGAGACGCAGGCGCAAGCGAAATGACGGGCTCTAAACGGGATGAGGGTTTGTTCTGGCCGCTTGCTACCTACCGGAAGAGAGAAAGATGGGGGAGTGTGAGAGAGGAACGAGGCACTATGGCTAGGTGTGGCCTTGGCTTCCTCTGGTGCTGTGCTCACTGCTGGGCCTTCTGGACCGCCGGGGGGGGGGAGGGGCTCCAAGCTATCCGGGCGGCTCTGACTGCCTTAGCTTGCTGCTTGCTTGCCTCCTAGCCACTGGACGGGAAGCATCTGGGGGGGCAAGGAGGTTTGAGCTCCAAAGGGGAGGGGGGGCGGGTGGTGTCCAGGGGTATGTGCGCTGTGCAGCAAGAACTGGGGAAAGGCTGGGCGGGTACACACACCACACAGGGTAAAAGGGTAGGGATGGCAGGCACCGGGTGGGTATCGCGGCGAAATTACCCAGTAGGCGTTAGGCGAGTAGGGGAAATGAGATGAGACGTACTAGCGCTGATGAGGGTTGAGCCGTGGGAATAGACATGAGGTACGGTCCTTCTTTGGTTGGGCTGAGCTCCGCAGCTCGGCCAAATTGAACACTGTGTGAGCTATGGCTTGTACACTCTTCTGCAATCAGCGGCCAGGACGTCTTCGTCGCGTCCCATGTCTCCTCTCCAGCCGTATGCTCCACCACAGACTGGCCTGTCGCCAAGCTCATTAGCAGCATGGGAAATCTCCAAAGTGGGTACATTCAGGGTAGTCGAGCCGTATCCAGGGCAGAGCGAGCCGCCAGCACCTTGAACTTTGTACAGGTGTACAGTATTCTCATCAGGCCCTTGTCACCATCCGTGTCTTCGAATCCCATCTCAGTTTCGTCGAGCATTGCCGAGGGCTGCAACCTGTCTGCTCCCCCTTCCCGCCCCTCTTCCTTTCTCCTCCTGCTTCGCCAGCCCTCCTTACCGTCCCGCTCACACGTCTTGGGAACCCAAGGCCTGGCGAGAAGGTAGAGAACGGTTCGAGGCATCGGACTGCTGCACCATCCGAACCTGGAATCTGCCGTGCCCAGGCCTGGTTTGTGGATCACCAGACGTATTTTGTCTCATCGTTTCAGCTCCTGATTCCTCACGGGCCATAGTCGGCGGCCCATGGCCCACTGACAGCTGTGGTCCTTGCATGGCGACATGGATCCAGGTACACTTGAGGCAAGCAAGCTTCAGCCTCAAAGGTATCTGGAAGCATTTTGTAGAAGCTCAGTTGGTCGTAGGCTCACAACTTCCACGAGGTCCACATTCCAGCTTCAACACACAACGTGATTGATGATGCCGTGATCCAGTTGGCTCCCACCCTTTTTCGTGAATCAAGGGAAGACCTCCCACACCGCCCAACTGAGGTGAGATTCCGCAGACCAGACAGACATGGCAAACAGAGCTTGGGAGCTTTCAGAACAACATGGGCAAGGGACAGTGACAATGCCACATTGGTGGCATCACTTTCCCGCCGCCAGTGGGGGTGCAGCCCACCACCTTACCCCATGATTGGCCACCTTGCCGCCCGCCTCAACAGCACATCTGGTTGGACGCCCAAGATCGTGGAGTATGGCCAATCATGCCGTTTTCGCTTTCTCGGCTCTAAATCGTTGCTCCAGACCAGTGATGGCCCAACCCCAGGGCCAAGGGTCTTCCTGCAGGTCTTCCCGCAGGTGGCAAAACGTCGTCACGAAGACTCGCCCAACATGTGACCCGATCTTCTTGACCTTTCAGGATGTTCTTTCAGGGAGGGAGGTTTGCCGACCTGGCAGCGAAGTGTAGATTCACATCAGCAACGTATGCTAATCAAGCTTGTCAAGCCGGCATCCAGAGAGTATGGAGTGAAGCTTTCCCAGTGTCGACCAAGTGATCAGTGGTGGAGCGTTTGTTTCCGTATTGAACATGGCTCGCGAAGCTGTTGCCAGTCATTCTTTGTACGAAGGCTAGGCTAACCTGGTGGAAGAAGCCACTCTCCTGGTTCACGCTAGCAATGCAGCCTCCAGATGGCCCGAGGTGACCTATGCCAACGGCCATGGGCGTATTGCCCGTGCCTTTAGCCACAGCGGCACAAACGAGTTGCTAGGATATCTACATGTAGCTATAATGGGATCATGATATTTCCAGTAGAGCACAGAAGGTCGCAGTGCAGGAATCTTCGTCAGGGCTATGAGAATCCATGTCGCTGAGCCGCATCACCGTGATGGTTCATGAAGAAAGCATCCCGCACTGGTCCCCGTTTTGCTGATCTGCACAACGGAGCGCCCTCGACGGGCTTCGTCTCATGAGCTCGGCCTTAGTGGATATATACGAGACAATGAGACTTGTCACATCTTCATGGGCAATAAGGTTACATTCTCAATATTCTGTCGAACTTGATCGCTCAGATCAGCCTGATCGACGTACATCAGACAACCGTGTTCGTCTATTCTTTCGATTTTGATGAGAGAACAATCATGACTCTCTCCATCTACGCGATGGACAGAGAAGGTCAAATTGCCAGATCAACATAGCCAGAATGTTCTTGCTCCACCAACGAGGGGCCTCTTAACCTTCATGTGATTTGGGCCTCGCAAAGGGCTGTATATCCAGCCTCTCACGGAACATCAACAAAAAGTTTGTTGCAATGGGCTTGTCGGCGTAGCACCCCCGGCCGATCTACAGGGTTCGGGGTTTCGTCACTGTTGGTAAGACTCGTTGAGATCTCATTTACCCCCATTTGTTCAGCAAGATCCGATGCGGTCGAGACAATCAACGCTATTATGAACAGTCCGTTGGAAGGACTTGGAACATCAGAACATTCTCCTCTAATGTGAGTGCAATCCTGGGGATGATGCCGAGCATATGTCGGCGCCGTACTTAGCTCATAGACGTGGATATTCGGACAACGTCGACACGTGACGATGCCCCGCCACATTTCGCCAGTCACAAGCCACACGTCGCTAGCATGAGATGAGTAAACGTCATGCCCATGGGGAAGGCCACCGACCATCCCTGTTGCAGCTGGCATTCCAGCATGTGAAATCCCACTAGGTACGCTGGAAGACCCGAGGCTTTGTTACTCCAACATCCGAGCTGGTCACTCGCGGGACCCTCCACGGGACCACCTATCGGCATCGTGCCTAATGTAAACCACCATCACAAGCTTGCCCAGCGCTGCCCGTTTTCCCCAACGAGGCCACATCTGCGAAGGCCTGCACCGGAATTACAACACCACATCGCACCCTCCGATCTCCGTCATGGTCACACACCCCCTCTGATTCAACAGCAAGACAGCTTCTGCCCGGCGCTTTCGATCTGTAATGGGTTCCCATTCATAGCATCAATCGACACCATTGCGCCAAGCTACTTCGCTTGCGCCCGACAACCATCGACATGGCTGCTCAATCGACCCTTCGTGGGTCTGCAGCCGAAGAGGCCATTGCGGCCTTCATTGAGAAGTACTCCACCATCTTCCGAACCCGACTGCGCAAGACGACACGAACAACCCGACTCCTGGCCACACTCGCCCTCGCAACATCCATCATACTCAGCGCGGCTGGAGGGAGACGCTGGTGGAAAAGCCGCAAGGAAGAGAGGGAGCAAGGTCGCAAGCTGGTCCGTACCAACTCGTGGCTCTTCAACAAGGATGGCTCCCGCACCATCTACGTGCCGTATAAGGAGGGGACCTCCAAGGTCGTCATCCACACAACCAAGCCCTTGACCTTCGAAGCCCATCGCCGCCTCTTTCTTAACCCGCCGCGGGTGTCTGGGCTCGGCGATGGGACTGTTCCATCTGCACAGACAAAACCCGGTCTCAATTTGGCCTTCCTGCACCAGTTCCTGAGCTTGATGAGCATCATGATTCCGCGGTGGTCGAGCAAGGAGGCCGGTCTTCTCCTCAGCCACGGCATGTTCCTCATGCTGCGCACGTATCTCTCGCTTGTGGTCGCGAGACTCGACGGAGAGATTGTGCGGGATCTTGTTGCCGGACAAGGCAAGGCCTTCCTGTTAGGTCTCGCCAAGGTATGCCAAACGCCAGACGAACCCCTCGCTTTACTTGCGCTTCGCTAACAGGAGTACAGTGGTGCGGCCTGGGCGGCCTAGCGTCTTATACCAATGCCATGATCAAGTTCCTGGAGTCCAAGGTGTCCATTGCCTTCAGGACACGACTGACACGTTATATCCATGACCTGTATTTGAACAACAACCTGAACTATTACAAACTGTCCAACCTCGACGGCGGCGTTGGTCAGGGAGCTGACCAATTCATAACGCAAGATCTTACACTGTTCTGTGCGTCTGCCGCGAATCTCTACTCGTCTCTGGGCAAGCCTTTTGTTGATCTCTGTGTCTTCAACTACCAACTCTACCGTTCGCTCGGCCCCTTGGCTTTCATCGGACTGACGAGCAACTACATCCTGACCGCAAACATCCTCCGCCGACTCTCTCCGCCATTTGGAAAGCTCAAGGCTGTCGAGGGACGCAAGGAGGGTGACTTCCGAAGCCTGCACGCCCGCCTCATTGCGAACGCGGAGGAGGTTGCCTTCTACGGCGGAGCCGACATGGAGAAGCATTTCCTCAACAAGGAGTTCAAGTCGCTCAAGAACTGGATGGAGGGCATTTACATGCTCAAGATTCGCTACAACATGCTTGAGGACTTTGTTCTCAAGTACAGCTGGAGTGCTTACGGCTATCTCCTCTCGTCTCTGCCCGTCTTCCTGCCTGCGTGGGGTGGCCTCGGTGGTGCCATGGAGATGGTCCAGAGCGCCGAGAAGGGTGGCAAGGAGCGTGGCCGCATGAAGGAGTTTATCACCAACAAGAGGCTCATGCTGTCGCTTGCGGATGCCGGCGGTCGAATGATGTACTCGATCAAGGACCTGTCCGAGCTTGCCGGCTACACGAGTCGAGTGTACACGCTCATCTCAACGCTGCATCGTGTGCATGCCGACGCCTACTACCTACGTGGACAGCAGAACGAGCTCTACTCGCTGTCGGATGTCCAGGGCACGACGCAGAAGGGCTTTGACGGTGTCCGATTCGAGAACGTCCCCATTGTGGCGCCTGCCCTTTGGCCCCAAGGCGGCGACGAACTGCTAGACTCTCTCTCGATGGTGGTGAGGAGAGGCGAGCATCTCCTGGTGAGATTGAAATGATGCTGCCAACAGACGACCCTCGCTAACCCGGTACGTAGATCGACGGCCCCAACGGCGTTGGCAAGACTGCCATTGCCCGCGTCCTCGCAGGGCTCTGGCCCGTATACCGCGGCCTCGTCAGCCGGCCCAAGTCGGCCGGCCAGGACGGCATCATGTTCCTGCCGCAGCGACCCTACCTCAGCATCGGAACGCTCCGAGACCAGGTCATCTACCCCGACGGTCACCACGACATGCGCGAGAAGCGCAAGACGGAGGAGGATCTCAAGCGGGTGCTCGAGGATGCGCGTCTGGGCTACCTCCCCGATCGCGAAGGCGGCTGGGACACGCGCAAGGAGTGGAAGGACATCCTCAGTGGCGGCGAGAAGCAGCGCATGGGCTTCGCCAGGCTGCTGTACCACGAGCCCCAGTACGCCATTATCGACGAAGGCACCAGCGCTGTTTCGAGTGACGTCGAGGGTCTCTTGTACGAGACGTGCAAGGAGAGGGGAATCAGTAAGTCATCCTGCCACGCATTATCGAGGTGGCATTCCTGACATGAAACCAGCCCTCATCACCATCTCGACCCGCGCTTCGCTCAAGAAGTACCACACGTACAACCTCACGCTCGGTCAGGGCGAGCAGGGCGACGAGTGGTCATTCGACCGCATCGGCACGGAGAGGGAGAAGATGCAGGTCGAGAAGGAGCTCCAGGACCTCCGCGAGCGACTGGACCAGGTGGAGAAGTGGCAGGCGAGGCGACAGGAGATTGAGGACGAACTGGCGCAGGTCTGGGTGGAGGGTGGCGAGTCGCTGGATCCCCCTGCCTACGTCGAGCTCGAGAAGGGAGGCGAGGCAAAGCACGAAGAGGGCGAGATGGAGCAGATTCAGGCCCCGGAGGAGAAGGAGGAAGAGGAGGTACATGTGGAGGCATCGGCGTAGACGAGGACATACACAAGACCAATTTTGTACAATCAGACTACTTGCTTACTGGCGACAGAAGGGCGTGTGCAATTTGATCCATCAGGCAAGGAGCCACAACGCGATGCCACCGATTCGTGAAGGTTATTAGGGATGGCGCTACGATCGAAGAACCACGCGATGGCCGCCTGGCTGTTATGTTGACCACGCTATCTTGATCCACCCTTAGCTCGCCCCCCTTCTCTCTCTCTCTCTTCTCTCGCTTCCTCTCCGCCCCCTTTGCAAAACGGTCTTGAACTGGCACCAATACATTCGGGCCATGCTTAAGACCACAAGCTCTGGCACGCATGTTTCCAATAACCACACCGCCCCCGACCCAGAAACCCCGGACCTGGTGCCACGGAAGCAAGACAATGTCTTCGGCAGAGCCCCCCCTCTCCGTTTCGTTTCAACGGCAGGCACGTACTTGACACATGGGATCTTGATGTAATCCGATGACCCAATACGTCGCCCTCGCGAGCTTTGTTCCAACAGCCGAAACCCGCACGTCTGGGAACCGACCGCCCCATACCTCCCTCCCCCTCCCATGCCGTCAACGGCCAAGTGCCCAGTTAGGCCTGGGCTGCATCACCATTCAGTCCCCCGTCACCGTTTGCGCCAATGACGGTCGCCGCACAGCCCGCGCCATGGACCAGACTATTGCCCGCCCGGACCTGGGATGGTGCCGCGAAATCTCGCCAGCCCGCAGCGGAAGGGTTCACTTCCTTTCTGTCGATCAGAGCTTCTTTCGCGCGCGTGGCCCAATGGCGTAGCTGGCGCTGAAGCTCCCATCCCTGCTCTCGCCTGCTTGACGCCTCCCAATCCAGCAAATCGCCCCAAGCCACCGACCTGGATCACTGAAGCTCCGGGCGGGGCCCAGGTCGCCGCGAGCCTCTAGGAAGAGCAGAGGATTTCAATCATTGCTAGTGCGGGACGCTGCGACAAAGAAGAAGCAGACGGAGACGAAGAAGGCCGCGATGATGACCGGGCCCAAAGAACGGGCAGCGCCCGGGTCATTTTGACAATGGATTGGCGACAGGCATGGCCAGGGCGACGTCAGAGGAGCGGAGGGAGCGAGTATTGTCCGCATCTGCCGCTGCTTCTCTTAAACCGACAGACACTTCCCCCACTCGCCTGCCTTACAGATCTATCCTCCCCCTTCTGCATCCTGAGAGAGACAACGACTTATTGCTTTTCCATGAAAGAAAGTCTCTTTCGCCCTTTACCTGCCCCTCGGTTCTCATCCATCATCGCCTTCGAGCCTTCACACCAATGTTCGAGAGGGAAGACAGCCCCAAGCAAACCACATCAGATTACAACACCACCAAGAAGACGGGTGTACCGCGCGCTTAGCCCTGTCCCTCAACCTGAACCTGACCCAGCGCCAACGACGTTGGCATCACTCCACTGCACGACTGTGGAGGGTCTCTTGACCAAGCCAGCTTACGAGTCTTGAGCTGTGTGCTCAGAAAGCTCGGCACTCTGGACTTGATACTCTCTGTCCAGGACACTTGAGCGAACGCTTGATATAATACGGAGCTCGTAACTCGCCGTCACGCACGAAGCCTCCTTTGCCACCAAAGAAAAACGTAGGCCCGACGATATGGTCGTGTCGACGCCCCAGCAAGGGCTCAACATGCCCAAGTATGTCCTCACGCCGAGCCCACGCAGCGGCCGACCTGGCGTAGGGCGCATGCCCAGCATCGCCGAACATGGCGCGCCACAGCTACAGTACCCGCAAGATACGCCATCTCGCCCACCGCATCGCCGTGCGAGTTCCCTGCCCGTGACGCCGCGCCGTCCCCAACGCCATCGGCCGGCGCGGTATCGTTCTGCCTCGACCAGCGCAACGGGGTCGCCGCCCCAGAATCAGCCGCAGCAGTACACCTTTTTTCAGCAGCTCCAACAGCAGAACGTTCCACCGTACCCCCCGCCATCGTACTATCCCCGCCATAGCAAGGAGCCTCTGTGGCCGAGCCCGCTGAGGAACAGCGTTGCCTGGGACTCGCCGGATCGGGAGGTCGTGACGGAGAAAAAGGGGCGGCGAGAGAGGATCACAGAGAACGCGTGGGTTGCGCGCAGGGGAGGGTGGTGCCGTATCTGCCTGATTATGCTCTTCTTCGTTCTGATCATCGTCGGTCTGTCTGTTGGATTGGCTCTTGGCTTACGAAAAGGGTACGTTTTTTCCCCTTTTGCTTCTTTTGGTTGCTCATCTCGCTATCATGTTTCGTGACTTACAAGACCCAGCGCAAACAACGGCACATCGGAGCCGTCGACATCACCAGCGTCACCAGCGGCGTATCCCGCCGGCTCCTTTTCCTTCCAGACGGCATTGACGACTTCGTCATCAGACTGCACGTCCGACCCGGCGACCTGGCGCTGCCCTCCTTTCACAACCCACGCCGAGGATCCCTCGGCCGCGGGCGCCACCTTTTTCTGGACTATCACCGCGCCTGACGCAGGCGCCGACAGACCGGATTACACCGTGTCGAGCGCAGAGAACCCCTTTGCGCCGCGCTTCCGCAACGTGACCATGATGCTACGTGACGGCAACACGGTAAACGAGCGGCTCGAGTTCGAGATCGAGATGGACCGAGATGTCGTGCCAGGGAACCACACGGCGACTGGGGCCACGTGCTCGTACGACACTATCTTCAGGGGCGTGGTCTGGACTGACAAGGTCAAGGGCGGCGACAGGAAGCGGACGTCAATGGCGGATGCGGGCGATGCGGCCGAGGACGCAGACTGGAGAGAGTGGCCTGGGGAGGTGGAGATCCAGCAGGTCAGCAAGAAGGGGCCGAGCTGTCGCGAGGGGTCTGGGACGGTGATCCCCGTCGCGGCCGGGGCCGGGCAGTGTACGTGCCGTTATGCCAACTATGACCTTGATGAGGCGAAGAGACGGCGGAGGAGCCGGGCGGCGAGTCTGTCTTGAGCTGGTGGTGCGCCCTTGTGAGGCGTGTAATGTCGTGGGCCTGGGCCGTACGGGCTGGAACATGTGGAGGATAAGATACCATGCTAGTAATAACTGATACCCCCTTTTTATTTACGCGTGGCAGCGCGAGATGGCCAAGTGACGTCTGGCAAGCGGAAGAGATATCTTTTTCGGCATCCTTTGGCTAGACTGACCTGTTGGAGCTAGAAGTGGATTGGGCGTAAGGATCAAATGTCTGAGGTTCTCAGCAAAGTCTGGAGAGATGCATTCAGTCAGCTCTACCTTTTCCATTGCTTGGGTTCACGATGGTGTAGCCGCTCTACTCTTGACCTCTAACCGTTGATACCCGAGGAAGGGAAGCCTTGAAATGGAAGCCAAAGAACGACAGGCATGCAGCTGTAGGGTTTGCTGACTAGATACCTAGGTAGATAAAGAAAGTACCTGATGTAGGTAGAACAACATCCGGAGCAAAAGTACCAAGGCAAGTGAGGTGGGCGGCGAGAACAGCGGATGGAATCATCACCTTGCTCTTTCCATCCGTTTCAAGAAGAGCAGGAGCATCTAACTAACCAGGCCGCCCCTTCCTTCTATCTTCGCTGCTACTATTTACCCCCTTCTGAATATTTCTTCCTGGGTAGGTAGGTACGCGGGTCAAGCCCCCGTCTACATCCCATCATCTCTGGGTGTAGTTACTTCTTCATTTCTGCCAGCTTCAACCACCGCAACCTTCTCTCAAATTCACGTTTTGTTTGCGACTAATGCCGAGAGTAGACTGTCAAAAGCCACTGCAAGCCGTTCGAGCGAATAAGTCAAGGCTTTGAATGCTGTACGATCGTTTCGTCCTTCTTTTCTTCACTCAGCTTCGACGAACCTCCGGCGCCCTGGAACGCTGTTCAAGCACCGGCACTCTGTCCTGATTACGAACACCGTCCCGCTCATTGAGTGGTTTCCTGGTCCCAGATCTCTCAGGGGTCTGCGAACAATCTTCCATTCTTTTCTTCTTCTCCGTTTTCGGCAAGCTTCCTCCTTAGCTGTTACGCAGGAGAGCCAAACACAATGGCTAGCAAAGTCCAGGACTTGAGTGTTACCAACAAGCAACTTTCGATCAAAAACATCGAGGGATCCGTTTTCTTGTTCTACAACTGCAATCCCGACCAAGTCGTTGGTGCTGATGCATCCACCATCACTGTCGACAACGTAGCGGGGAACGTCTACATATTACACACAACGCACCTTGAGAAGCATCTACCGATGCCTGTATCTGTGCGCGGCTCTCGAATGACCGTGGCTTCCAATGTCGTGTTCAAAGAAGGTATCGTCGTCGTGCAAAATGTCGAGTCAGACCTGATTCGTGTGCACTCGAACAACTCCTCGGCCCAGGCAGTCAAGATACGACATGTCAGCGGCAACGTCATCTCGGAAGGCGGCGTCCCTGTGAATGTCCGGATCAGCGAGTGGGACGGCGAGTTTACTGCCTCCCTTCCATCAACCATAGAGCTAGCTCAAATCATGGAGAAGGCCGCTTCCGCATAGAATGCAGGCGAACATGCTCAGCGAAGCAGGTCGGGTGGTGGTAGGAACGTCAGCTCAGCTGCCCAAACCCGTCTGAAGGGATTGCGCCGCGAAAAGAAAGAGCGCCTCCGACATCAAGTGTCACAGCACCATGAAGCCGCTTTGAATGCGTCCTCATCCTATCCTTCGTCTCAGGAGAGACTCCCCCGCGGACAAAGCCTCTATCAAACCGACTACACACCGCATATTCATGGATCTTCAAGAGAGGTTATAGCCGGTCGCGCCTGGCGTGCCCGACATACGGGGCCTGATACTGATCAATTTAGTCACGAGTCTCGACGAGGCTGGCCCACGTGGCTTACGTACGAGCTAGATCGAACAACATCCTCGGGCTCGACGAGGATCGGCCTCGAAACCCGAGCCCGTCGCGGCCAGTATGGCAATGACAGCCATTCTGTGCCTCCGTATGGTGAACGCGCGCAAAACAGCGAGGCGATGTTTTCATACGACGACTACAACGAGAACGAGAATGTGGATT